AGAAATTAAATAAATTCTTTATCTGAGAATGTGCTGCTTGCATATTTTCAAGATCATTCGAAAAAGATGAAACCGTCTTCCTTGTGGACAGTACTTAAATTGCGGCAAATATGCTAAATTGCGTGCGTTTCTGAAGGGTAAATTTGTTGGTTATAAATCTAAAAAGTCGAAAACAGTAAATTAAAGAATTCTTATCGTCTGCTCATTCTAAAGAATATCTGTTTAAAAAGGTAAACTATAATACCAAATTAAATTAAAATTAAGCACAAATATTTATTTTTTTATTTTTAATTTAAGTATTTTTTTTTGTGGTGATCGTAGAAAAAGTATAGTATACAGGCTGTTCCGTCTAAACCCCACTTCAAAAGTATTGGGAGTTCGAATACACATATTTGTTTGAAAATTGGTACATAGCCTCCTAAATGAAAATATTTTCAAGATGGCGGCACTTCCGGTTATACCGGAAGTCGGTCTCAACTTTCTTATTTTAAATGGAAAGCTATATTTTTTACTTCGTTTTTGCGTTAATCGGGTTACTTTAAGAGAGTTTTTATCAGATTTCCCTATACCCAAATTTAGCCGTTTTTGAAATATTTGGAGTTTTTCAAAAATTTTTGGATCTGCACCTTCCACTTTAAAAATCGGTAACTCTGCCATTTATTAAGATTTTGAATTCGTTTTTTTTGGCGTTTGAAACAGAATGATTAAATCCTTTTTCTGGTGTTTTCAAATTTTGAGAAAAAAATAACATATTCCAAAATTTTAAGGTTACTTTTGTAATAATTAAAATACTCATAACTCAATTTTTTCAAATGAAATACCCCAATTTTTATTTTACTAAATAGAAGAGAATTTAATTGTGCATTGATCTGTATTAACATTCCTTATACCTAAATTTAATAATTTTTAAGTTATGGTGACTTCTTGTTAAAACTGCGGAAAATCTATTACTAGCCACATCCGTTCTCGTATAGTTTGCTATGGAAATCAAAAATTTCAAAATTGTTTCTCAATAAACGTCGGTAGTGACTTGCTATTTGACAAATAGTGCCAAAATATGGAGAGTCAAAGCTACTCAAACTTAGATTTAATTAATGTATTTTGTATTTATGGAGAGTGTAACAAAATTATGATGTCGTTCTTTAAAGAAAAATAAATTTTTCTCACTTGTTAGCTTTAAATAATGATCACATGGTACAACCTATCAATAATAATTAAGTTTGCATAACTTTGATTCTCTATATTTTGGCACTATTTGTCAAATAATAAGTCACTGTCGACGTTTATTGAAAAACAATTTTGACATTTTTGATTTCCATAGTGAACTATGTGAAAACGGGTGTGGCTAGTAATAAATTTTCTGTAGTCTTAAAAAAAAGTCCATAACTTGAAAATTATTAAATTTAGGTATAGGAAATGTCGACACAGATTAATGCACAATTAAATTTTCTATTTAGTAAAATAAAAATTGGGGTATTTTACTTGAAAAAAATTGAGTTATGAGAATTATTACAAAAGTAACCTTAAAATTTTGGGATCTGTTATTTTTTTTCAAAATTTGAAAACACCAGAAAAAGGATCTAAACTTTCTCTTTCAAACGCCTAAAAAGCGAATTCAAAATCTTAAAAAATGGCAGAGTTACCGATTTTTAAAGTGGAAGGTGCAGATCCAAAATTTTTTGAAAAACTCCAAATATTTCAAAAACGGCTAAATTTAGGTATAGGGAAAGCTGATGAAAACTTCCTTAAAATAACCCGATTAATCCAAAAACGCAGTAAAAAATATACCTTTCCATTAAAAATAAGAAAGTTGAAACCGGTATAACCGGAAGTGCCGCCATCTTGAAAATATTTTCATTTAGGAGGACTTCATGGCTTATAGCTATGTACCAATTTTCGAAGAAATACGATTATTCCAACTCCCAATACTTCTAATGTGGGGTTTAGACGGAACAGCCTGTATAACAAGTGTATAAACTTCTCTAGACATTCGCTGCGCCTAATAAAACTCATGTCTAAAGTGGCGTTTATAACACTAGTTACATAATATACTATTAAATTTACTATTATAATGTTTTCTGTTTGTGTTTTTAGTTTTTTATGGATTTAATTTTTTTTTCATATTTACTTATATTTAATATTATCTAAAATCTAAAAATTATAGTTATATCTAAAAAGTGTAACTTCCGCATCTTTATTTTCGTACATTTTTGGTTTTTATATTCTTAATGCTTTACATGAAATAGGCTCACAAATCTGAGATTTTTGTTTTTTTACAACTTTCGTTACCTAATCATAAATTGTACGTTCACATTGCTAAACTAGAAACGAGCTTTAACACATATAAGGTTGTTGATGAATAGTCGGCGTGTGCTAAATAATTCATGTCGGGTGTTTTTTAAACTAAACATGGGCTATGTTCAGAGTTAAAAAATGACCCTGTATTCATGATTTCGTATAAATCCCTAAATTTAGGAATTGTTATTTTTCACTATCCTAGCAAAACAAATTTTTTTTAATCTTATTTTAGTAAAGTAATGTGTGTTAATACATACCAGGTGAATAAAAAGTATGGAACCAAACGTTTTTTGCTTAAACTATTTATTTTTTGAAAAAACTAATTGATGAGTGCTAAAGTACTATAAAAATGTGATGATTTAACAAGAATAAAATTTTTCGAAATTTTCTTTTATTTTTGAGTTCTACAAAAAAATTAATTTTTTTAAATGGCAACCCACTATAAAATCATTTTTCTCATAAAAGCTATACTCTAAGGATTACAACTATCTGCTTTATTTTTAATTTTTTCAAAAAAAATTTTTCACATAAATTGCAATTTTGACAAAAAAAATCGCATAACTCAAAAACAAAACAAAATTTCGTTCTGAAATTACGATCACATTTTTTATATTACTTAAAGTGATATTAATTATTATTTTCCGGAGACAAATGATTAAAAATAAGACCGCTTGGTTCCATACTTTATATTCATCCTGTACATACAGGGTGTTCCGTTTTTATTGTTACAAATTTAAACAGGTGATAGAATATTCAATTCTAAGACAAAAGTTTCCTATAAACATGTATCGAAAAATGCTTGGTATGGGACCTACACCTTCTGAAAGGGGGCTAATAGGTTTTTGCTAATATTTCAGAAACCATTTAAGATAAAATTACAAAATTTGGTACAGATGATAATCTTTATACACCTAAACGAATGCAAACATCAAATGTCGAAATTTCTAATCAGAGCCGTCAAAAACTGATGGGGTTTAGGGTAAAAAAATACCCTATCTATTTTGGCTCTAGTTTCTTTAGTTATGGATTGACCAAAATGGTGATCACTTTGAACAACTCCTTTAGATTTAGGCAAATTCATTTAATTAATGTTATTATTGTTACTGTAATGTAATGTTAATTAGTTGAGGTAAAAAGTATGAATTTCTTGCTTTTATTATTCTGTAAATTCTGATTTATTTGAATGTATTGGTGTGTAACATACATTTTAAATTAATTTTATTCAAAAACAATAAGTCGTATCGACACAAGAGAGACTTTTCTGTGATAAACTATCGAACTTAAGATTTTGTTGCTGAAAATACCGAGAACCTAAAGCCAAAATAAATAGGGTATTTTTTTACCTTAAACTCCCCCAGTTTCGTACGTCCCTGATTAAAAATTTCGACATTTGATGTTTGAATCCGTTTAGGTGTATAAAGATTATCATCTGTACCAAATATTGTAATTTTATCTTAAATGGTTTCTGAAATATTAGCAAAAACATATTAGCCCCCTTCGGGAGGGTGTAGCTCCCTTACCAAGCATTTTTTGATACATGTTTATAGAAAACTTTTGTCTTAGAATTGAATATACTATCACCTGTTTAAATTTGTAACAATAAAAACGGAACACCCTGTATATGTTTCTACAAAATTATTGTAGTTGTGTGTAGTTGTTTTGAAAGATAAGCACAAATATATTTCAAATTGATATTGCCTTTAAAAAATAAAGTCATCATAAAATAAAATTTATGATTGTCTTTCAAACGTCTAATTTACGAAAAATTATTGGAAATAAATGTTTTAGCTCTCGGCGATACAAATCAATAAAATCACACTCACATAGGTGTATGCTATGTAAAAATGCAGCTCTTTGTCTACGGTTTAAAAAATGACACAATGCATGCCGAGCTGCATGCAAATGATATTCAATAATTCAACTAGCTGTACAGTTACGGAATTAAAATTTCGGGCAGTATTTTTCTGTCACTTCAAAAAGTTCACGGTAAACTACCTTTTACTGTCATCATGACATTCATGACTGACATTTGACAATTAAACTTTTCTGTCAGTGACGAAATTTTTTATGTCAAAATGACATAAATATGACAAGAGTAAAAAATGAGGTTATTAATGTAAAGGTTGTTTTAGAGTTTACATTGTGGAAATGACAATACTGCCCGAAATTTTAATTCCGCAACTGTACATCCACAAAATTAAATTTTTAAATGTGAGACATTTTTATTTGTACAGAATTTACTTTTAATATTGCTACTAATTAATACGTTTTTTTTTTAAATAGTAAGTGAAAGACAACAAGAAATGTGTAACAAATTTTCTAAATCTGAATTCGCTTTATAATTTTTAAAGAAAAGCAAAGTAATAAAACCATATTTTTTTTTATTTGTTTAATTACGTATATAAGAACAGTTTCTTGTGATTTATTAATAAAATTAACAAATGAAATGACAGTTTATGCGATGCATGCATTGAGACATTTTTTAGAAGTAGACATTGGGCTGACATGATTCGAAGCCGTATTGTTAAGTGATGTAATTAAGTATTTATGTAAAATGTATTTATAAAAAAATAGAGTTACTTTTGTGTTAAATGTAATAACATACATATTATCCACTGCGATCTTTTTTGTACTTTGTATTGTATTACATTTCATGCCTGAGGCCTACACAGTAATGCAACATGTGGTTTGTCCTGTTTCAGATAATGTCTGTTATGAGGGTCACTACCTTTTACATCCCCGGGATAACCCTGTAATGGCAGAAAAATAATGAACTTCGCATCTATAAAAACCGATCAGTTAATTAAACGCGCTAGTGGTTTCAGTGATTGATACGAAAAATAAAAAGTGAACAATATGGCAGTTGATTTTTCGCCTGAGGACTTAAAAGTGATAGAGACGAGGCAATTTCAGTGCGACGAAATTATAAATAAATCGAGTAACATTTTGGGTAAGTTTTAATTAGGTTGTCACTTGCAATTATTTTAACTTTTATCTTGTGATAACAATCGGAATGATCCAGGGTGTGAAAGCACGTTTTTGACAAGAGTGGAGTACAAAGAGAAACTTTTAACAATAGTAACATTTTGCTGACATCTCGCTACACATAGAAAATCAAAGATCCTGAAATAATCCATTCATTGTTAGGCTTTTTGCCTCAATGGTCTACAACATAACTTGTCGCTTAGCGAAATATTAAAACATCCCTTTGATTTTTGAAGTAGTAAATATTCCATTATTTTTGATTAATATTTATTTATACGGGATGATGTTAAAGAATGTGCAAATAGGTGATAGTAGAGCTCAAATTTAAATGATGAATTTTGGGGATTCGTATCGGGATCCGACTTCTCTTTAAAGAAAAATGGAAGCTTATAAAACACTAATAAATCAAGGAAGAAACGAGCAATAAGAAACTAACGGTGTCTTTAACACGCTACTACACAGCTTTTAAGTTAAAACAAAACTGAATTGTTGCATAGTCCCATAAGAATATAAATATTTAGATAACGGGAACGACTCTTTTTTTAACCTACAAACAACAAACATTGAGAATAACATAAATCCAACAATAAACAATGGATTTATTTAAATAACTTTTAGCTGCTATTATTCCGAGTCACAAACCTTGAACTCGTCTATTTTCGTTTCAGATTCGATTGTAGGGGAACAAATCTTGGTAATGCTATGCAAAATTTCATTAAAAAGACAATTAATTTTTCTTCTTTCAACGGATTTCAACATTTCCTTCACATAATGACAAAATCTTTTAAAAATTTATTGCTCACAAACACCTTTTTATCCTTTGCAAAAATAAATTTTGTTTACAAACATTTTATACATCAAAGTTCACATAAACCCTGACTTCCATTAACCCTCGTAAAAGTTTTTAGAAGATAATTGCGTTGGTAAAAGAATTTGTTTCTTTCCGTCTATTCGAGCTTGATATTTCATGAGTAACATTTACGGTCTTTGAAAAGTCGTAACTTCCCGTAATTTAGCACGTTGCGAGGAAACCTTTTATAAAACAAGAGATTATAAATTACTTTTTTCTCGAAGAAACGATCTTATTTTCTTTCATAACCTTAATCAAGCTTGTTCCCTTTCATTTACATTTATCTAAGGTGAGCATCTTAGAGGGATTCTAGGTATGGTTTATGTTATTCATGCAATCAGCTAGGAAATGAAACATTTTCTCTAACAAGCTAGCTTTTGGGACGAGTAAAACGAGTTCAGTCAATTAGGCACACAAACTTGATGACCTTACTTCACAACAAAAAAAGAAAGTTTTATACTTAAATAAATAAAAATTACTTTTTCTGAAATGTGGAAAAACTCCATGATTTTATCAGACTTCAAAAATTTAGCACACAAATTGTTTCCACGACTATTATATAACGTAGAACGGGTTTAATTAACAGTCAGCTTTTTACAACTTGATAAAAAGCTGTAAACGAAGTTTTACAAGAACGTGATATCGCATACAAAATTTTATTTCAAATATATACATATTATAAATAGCATGGAGTGTTTCACTATATCGGTAAATATTTACAGTTATCAGAATTTTAATGACAGTTTTTACATAAATTAATTAAAACAGTGGCTTATAAATATAGGTGAAATGAGTTTGGCAATTCGTGACTATATATTTATAATATAGACGAAATAAATTATTCAATCTTGGAAATTTTTGTTAGTTTTTAAAATACCAATGTTGGTTCTTCTCAGTGCATCAGAACTCGCGCCCTAGAGAAAAATACCATGTAAGGTAATCTTACTCTACCAAGAACATGAAAAAAATGTTAAAAACATTCTATCTATGATAATTTCGACGTTATAAGAGTTTATTTTTCAAATAATTAATAATTAATCCAAAAATAGTTTTTTTGCTACACGCTATTTGAAGGGGAAACAAGGAAGCTGTATCCTAAATTGTAAATCTGTTTAATGTTATTTGTGGAGTAAGAAGAATGCAAATTTGAGATTTGTGAGGATCATGACTTGGGTGACATTATTTGCTAAATAATGTTAGGGCACTTAAGACATGATCAAAGTAGTGTTGTTTATACAGAAACATGGTGTTGGGAAGAAATTTAAATTTTGTCTAACCAGATGCGAAAGTAGGACAAAGAATCTTGTTGTTGGGAGATAGTCAATACACACCAATTTAAAGGTCCCGATGGCTCTTTAGTTGTTTTGTTTATTTTAAGGAAGGAATTATTCTCGGTTTAAATTTCGCTCCACAGCTAACATCAATTTAGAGCGACTGGAGACTTCAAAATCAACAAAATTGAAAAAAAAAAAAAACAAAGTGGCCGTTGAGGCTTAATTTGAACGTTTTCCAAAAATCAAAAGAAAAACTACTTTTTCTCTGTTCGGAAATTTAACTAGTTTTTAAAATTTGTAACAATGAGATCAAGAGCGCCTTGGCAAATACGATGACAGATTTAGATTCTTTATAAAAAAGTGCCTTAAGAACGTCCTACAGATTTGTCAACAAGAAATTACCACCTAGGACTTCAACTTTTAGGAAAGTTACGTTTTTCATGTTGTTTGTAACTGGAATTTTCAGAAGTAATTTTGTATGCCTAAGGTTAATAACCCTTTGTTGTTGACGATTGACGTTTTCTGTCAAACTGCTGTCAACTATCAATTTAATTATCCATACAAGCTGAAATTTTGACACTAGTTACGATATCTTTTGTTTGTCACCAGAATATCCCTAAAACCTATGAAGTAATTTCTTGTTGATACGACAATAGTTGAAGTAATTTTTTGTTGATACGACAATAGTTAAAACGTATAGGTCATTTAGTTTTCGCTTGAAAAAATAAAAACGAAAATTACAAATTTCCGGTTTTTTTCCAATATTCAAAAACTAAAAATGACACATTAAATTTTCTTTCAGCATAAAAATGCGCAACTTTGCCCTAATTTAACCGGCCTCGTATCTCTTATAATAACTGAGATCTTTATGGTGGAGCTCGAAAAACGAACACCCTGTAGATTGGATTCTGTGGTAAAACAATTAAAAATGAAGTAAAAAGGAAAAAGATATTAATTCCACGTCTGCTAACTTTTGGACTGGTTAGAATATGAGCAATAAATGTAATAATCCTCTATTACATTCGCCTCAGGGAAACAAAATTCAGGAGCAAATGCAATAACGAATGTAGGATATAAACGGTAGCAAACATGCTAAAAATATATGAATAAAACAACTTTCTAACACGTATGTTATCATAATATTACAAAACAAACAAAAAACTTACCTTGAAACTTCAAAAGAATTTCGATGAAAAGTTAGCTTATAAATTTACATACCATGCCTTTTGAAGGAACTTCACAAAATGACACCTCACTTATTTGTCCGTCGGTAAAACAGTATCAGGAAGTGGTTAGCTTAAAGTTGAATTAAGGATGTGATATCAGAGAAGTCGGTGCTGACTTCTTTTAAGGAAATACAGCTTTAGTACGTTATTGCAATTGTCCCAACTGACCCTATAAAAAAATTATTAGTATCGTTACTTGTGTTCATCGTAAATCATAATCACGACAACCAATTTATTATTTTAATATTTTATGTTTATTTTGGAAAAAAAAAATTAATTAAACTTATTGGAAACCATTTCGCTTGAAGAGATTAAACAGAAGATTTTCGAATTTTGACAAAATAAATAAATAAATAACATTCTTAATGATCACAAATGTGTAATTTTTTTTCTGGGTTATACTCTTCTATTATTGGCCAATTTTGCAGCTGCAAGACCATAAACACCCTGTATAATAATTCAGCTTTTCCTTAGCAATCCACGTAACTAAAAACTCAAAGTCACTGCTCCGCATTTTATACAAAATACATTACTTTAAGAAGGCGGTGCGTTTCAGAGTTTTCTTTTATAATATTCTTTCATAAATTAGGTCAAAACTTTAACAACATAATAGAAATATTTCTGCTAACTCAGACGAGTGGTTTAGTTAACTAACTAGAGTAGAGGTCTATTTTTTAGTGTTTAACAATTTAACGATAGTTTTGGTTAATTTTACACTGAGAAATGTGTGTTAATATAATTTTTTTAACTTGAGGTAATTTTGTTAATAGTAATTGAATCTCCACTTTTAAGTTGTCTACATTTTAAATTTCATAATAATCGGGTGGCAAATAAACGAAAGTCTTACGTGGAACACTCTGTATACATATTATTTTTGCTATTATTAAGTCCTGGCCAAAATGTCATTGAAACGTTTTAGGGTTCTATTATCTCCTCTATCACCCAAAGGAATGATATCATAAAGTTTGGTTACACGCGCATCAAAAATTAATCATTTTTTATAGCCGTTCTGATTACATTTCTAGGAAACTAAAACTAATTTACATTTATAAGTTTTTAGTTTTGCAACATTTTGCTTTTATAATTCTTGATTTCAGGGCTTTTTGGGCCTTACTGTCCAGGCAGATTTGATGGGTGGTCCTGTTGGCCTAGCACTCCTGCAGGAGAAATAGCCAATCAATCCTGTCCAGCTATAATGAACTACGATCCCAATCGTAAGTATGCAACGTTTGCAAAAAATTTAAACTATTAATTATTTTCCTCTGCTCCAATAAATGCTAAAGTTATGTATGTGTTTCAATTAAAACTTTGCCGTTGGGATTGTTATTTATCTTAGTAAGCATATACTTAAACTCAACTTTTTTGAGGCAATGCAGCTACTCATCGATCAAATTGTATTTGACATGATGAATTATCGCTAATTCATTACTGGACAAAACGAACATGTCCAATTTGTTATATCTATGTACACGACGCAGATCTGTTTCAATTAATCTGTGTATTTAGCATGAATGAACATGTTTATCAATAATTTCAGAAATTTGCTTATTCGAGTGACATGAGCTACATACTGAGCTTCGAAAAGTTTCTGATATTACAGAAAAACCATCCATAATAATATTTTGACAGATTCATTAAAAGTATGTTAGTAAAGATCAGCGCTTTAAGTTCGACTTAGATATTCAAAGTTTGTGAAAGATTTTTTATAATGCAATGAGGAAATGATGGAAATTTTTTAATCTGAAATGCTTTAATCATCTGACTACTTTACAACTGGTAATTGGTATAAAGTATAATATTCCACGTAAATGCATAAAAAAATATTTTCAGTTAAAGCTTTCAACAATTAAATATCAACTCTTTTCTGAAAAACATACTTGTGATTAATTATTTATTCTAGCGCTTAACGTTTTTACGATTTTGTTCACGGTTTGACGCAGTTAGATAGTAAAGTTATGTTTTAAATAAATTTTTAAATCAAGTCATTAAAGTCAATGCGTTCTTTAAAAAATCTGTTTTTTTTTTATAATTACCTTTTTTATTTTTTGGAAATCTTTATTTTGTCAACGTACTCATAAAGTTAATTTCTTGCCATTTGTATGCATTGACAATTTTTTTTTATAGAAAGTTTATTTTAAAGCAACTCAGTGCAGCCAAAAGACGGTGGGTAGGCAAGCTTAAATAATGTTAATACTTGCAAACTTGTGAAAAATACAAAAAACAAAATTTTAAGTTGGGAAAGCCACATAACCGCATCAAAGAGAAAAAAAAACGATTTAAAATGCTTTTCAATTTGTATCAAAGAGAATCAAAAATAACTTTGGTGAATCATTTTGTATCAAACAACGTAACGTATATGAGCCCAGATTCAGTAAAATTAACGCTCCTGCTATTGTAATTGTAGCAAAGCAACAACTAACAAGGACGAAATGAATGTTGTCGGCGTACGTCAAGGCGTCGTGAATTTAATAAACGCTGCCCAGAAATTCTATTAATCAGAAGCTTCGCGAGGAAGCACTAGTTTCTAGACCGGAAATGAGTCTAATTCCCTGAGGAAAATCTGAACCAAGCATTTATATTGTAATGCAAGCATATGTTTCAAAAGTTTTACGACGACTAAAAAGTGTTTTGTGTCACAGAAGGAGCAAAGGATTGTCTAGCATTTGCTGTTGACAACAGTCTATTGTATACCTAAGTAGTACGAGGATTTTTAGAAAAATTTTATTTTTTATTTTTTTATTTTAAAGTAAAAAGCGCATAAACCACATAGGGTTATGAGCGCCAATTAAAATGTTACAACAGTTTACACTGGAGGATTTCATATTAATGTGCATCAAAGTAGTCGTTGAAAAGGATCATTTTAAGTTGGCGACCATGCGAAAATTCAAACAATCTTAACCTCAATCCTCCCTAAAAATGTGCACCTCAGTTTTTGAGAAAGCAAAAAATAATCAAAGCTAACAACGTAATGGGGTACTATATATACTATGAAAAAAGAAGGCAAAATTTAGGTTTATATTATTCTTCGTTGTTAAATAGCAATGTAACTAAAAATCTATTTTCAATTAAGCTGTAATTTTTTAAATAAATGAGATTTAAACAAGTGGTTTTTGATCCTCCCCGTCCAATCAGCAAACGCAGCGCTATTTTGTCTCTCTTACCGACGACTTTCTTCCATCGCATCGCAGACTGGAGCTTGGGTTAGAGCTGTCGGCTTTGGCTGATTTTGCGCGTTCGTCAGGGTCTGCTCACGTGATCACTTGGCGCAAATATCGTGTGTTTGAAAGTGTGTTTATTTTTCACCAAATTCAAAAAAAAAATTTCGCCTTGAATGCACGCTTTCGCAAAAAACACAAAAGACGGGTATATTATCTTTTTATGTAGATTTAACTTAGACAATAAGAAAATATAGTATAGTACCCCATTAGTGTAGGGTGGCAAACAGAAAGATTTTTGTCATTATTGATGTGATTAAATTTGTTCTCAATGACATTAATGATACAAATTGTGTGACTTGGCCTTTAAATTAAAGATGCATTTAGAATTCTACAACCTACTTGATGCACATAAATATGAAAAAGAGTATAAAAACTTTTAAGGCAGTAAACTAAGAAAAACTTATGGTTTCATAATATATTATGAAATATGTAATTTAGAAAATACGATCTAAGTACACATTTTTATTGCTTCCGTTTTTTTAAGATGACAGTCAACTTTTTTTTAGTTGCCTTGTATATTTGTAAAAACTATTACTCTCTCCGTTCTAAAATAAGTATCCGATTTTAGTTTTTTTATGGATTATTGAAATAATGAAAAAAAAAAGATGACAGTCAACTTTTTAGTTGCCTTGTATATTTGTAAAAACTATTACTCTCTCTGTTCTAAAATAAGCATCCGATTTTAGTTTTTTTTATGGATTATTGAAATAATGAAATTTAATGTATCAGTAGTTATTTATTTAAATTAAACATGGAAAAAGTAAATCTAGAAGCCCCTGGAAGTTTGATATTTGTCAAAATAATATTTTAATTGTCAAAATTGTTAATTTGGTGTTTTATCGGTTGACAATTTGTGTATAGTATTATTACGGTTGTCATGGCAGAAACTATCCAAAACTTGACTGCTTATAGTTACCAATTTATAAAATGTTACTCATAAGTCATAAGTTTTATTTTTTAAACGTTTTCCAGTTATGTTATAGCTTAGTTGTAAAAATTCACGTTATATTCCTTTGCGTATTTTTTTTTTAAATTGGAACAAACAAAATTTTTAAATCGTACACGTATTTTGGGACAGTGAAAACACATATTTATAAAAATTTTAGTTAAAATTGTGTAAATATGTATCTACCAGTAATTAAAATATACAGGCTGACTATAAAGAATAGAACCAAGCGTTTTTTTTTAAATCATTTGTCTGCAGAAAATAATAATTACTCGTAATATAAATTAAAGCAATATAAAAAATGTGATCGTAAATATCACATTTTATAGTATCTTCTTTATCATTTATCAATTAGTTTTTCCAAAAAATAAATAGTTTAAGCAAAAAACGTTTGATTCCATACTGACTATTCGCCTGACATATGAAATTGGTATAGAGACAGTAAAACTCCGGTTATTCGAATTACGATTTCAATCAATTTAATTTTTTTGCTTCTTGATTCTTTGTAGCATTTACTTACATAAGTATGTATTGTTTATTGTTCGCTTTTAGTTTGAATTAGAAAAAATGTTATTTTTATTGTTACCTAGAATGAAATACATACAGGGTGTCAATTTTAGAACTTGCAATCGGCAATATATCTAGAACTGAAAAAGTTTTTGAAAACTACTCAAAACCGTTTCGGTAGTTTCTAGGGGGAATCAAAATGACATCCTCTACCCACCCTTAAAGCCACAGCCACCCCAAGTTGAGAATTTTAAATGCTTGTGATATATCGCTGGAAAGCTCATAAGAAGCGCTTTTCAAAAATGACATACAACAATCTATTTGGTAAAGCCGTTTTTCTAATTATTCAAAAACAAAGACTTAAAATAATTTTTTTAAATTGTATTTAAGTGTGGGTGGAGGTGCGTTCACTTACCATGCTATTTTGATTGTCCCTACAAACCACCAAAATGATTTTGAGTGATTCTCAATAACTTTTTCAGTTCTAGATATCGACTCTCCCAACCAAAACTATAGTAACTCAAAAATTACAGTTTTTGAAAAATTGCATTGAATCTTTAATAAAAAATCAAGGAGCTGTTTAATATTATTGAAAATTGCTGAGGATCTAAATTTTGGTAAGTAATTATGAATTCAAAGAAAAATTTTCTCATTGTTCTTGTATTTTAGGCGTTGGGCTGTACATGAGCCATCGTAACTCAAAAACCAATTTTTATGAGTTACTATAGTTTTCGTTGGGAGAGTCGATGTATTGCCGATTTCAAGTTTTAAAACTGACATCCTGTATAATAAATATGTTTTTATTATTACATTAATAACTCACCTTATTGAAATTGACCTGGATCTTTATTACTTCCGATCACCGAGGTTCTACTGTAATTACAGATCCATTTAATGGCCCGCTCGATCTCTAGACCTGAATCCATCCACTAGGGATTACATGTGGGTTTATAGGCAATGTTTTATTTTTACATTCAAGAGTTAAAAGAATTGCTTCAAATAATTTTAGTACATGGAATTGAATGCGCGTTCGCAAAGAGCATCAACAGTGTCTGGTCTGCATGGAAGCATTAAAGGAAGATAATAATTTTTATTATTTGCAGCAGTTTTTTTATTCTTAAATTTTTATAAAATTATTTGATTGATTAAATTTTTTGTTTGCTTTTTTATATTAGACGCAGTTAAATTAAACTAGAATTTATAAAATGTTGTTCGAAATGACAATAAGCAAATACAGTGTAAATCACATTTTTGCACAAGTAAGGTAAGCACTGGTATTTTTGCAATATTGCCTTATGGGGAAAAACTTACGCGTTTATTCCTCTGAAACTGCTCCATGCATTGAGACAAGGTCGTTATAGCTAAACTTGATCACCGTTTTGTAAGTTGCGTTCGTGACAATACTTGCAATATCTTCATGAATTACTAATAAAGTCTTTTCAAGTGTCTAGAATATTTTACTTAAATACTTTATCAAGCTTTTGTACGACTTTGGTTTCTTTGAAATAAACATTTAAAAAATACGCCTTCTTATTGCTGAATC